TGCTCCATGTACCTTGCAATTCAAGTTTGAAAACAAGCAATCAACATTGTTGGAAAAAGTGATTATAAGCTACGATATCAAGGTTACGTCACCGAGCAGAGAATTACTGCTTGGCGCAAGACGACTCCGAGCAGAATCTTGCTTGCAAGCTGTTGAAGAAGACTTACTTGCAATGACTGGTGGAACAAAATCAACCACTCTGAAAGAAGAGATAAACAGTTTACAGTCACAAATTGATGAAAAAACTAAGAAAATTGATTCTCTTAAAGATGAGGAACGAAGATGGGTTGCATTGATAGCGAAGATGGAAGCTAGTAAAGTTTGAAATTTTGATACACAATCATAGGATTTGCAACTTTGGGTCATTGGACCAAAAAGAGCAGCTGGGTCAGAAAAATCAGGGTAGAGGGGTAATACTTCTTATGGGATGTCATGATGAAAGTAGTAAATAGCACATCTGACATACAGGCCAAGTACAGGCTGAATGTCATGAAGGATTGTATAGAAAAGTAAATTATATAATTTGATGGAATGGGCTGATGAAAAGGCACTAATTATGTTTTAAGAAGTATGAATTATAATCAGATCAGTAATTAAAAAAAATCTTAATATTATTTTTAACCTCGTGAACTAGAAGAGGCGCTATATGGCCAGAACCATAGCTTTTGGTGGAAAATATGCTCCTAGCTGCTCCAAGGGGCGGCACCTCCCTCCGAGGAGGTTTGATGGAGGTGCCACCAGGGTTTTGTTTGGGCTAGAGATTTAGTGGAAATATTTGTTCATAGTAGTTTGCATGGTATGGTTGGTTGCAGCAGAGACCAAATAAATCTTTGGTGGTGCGTAGGGTTTGTGTCTTTTCTTCTTGGAGTATGCATCAAAGACTAGCCCATCTTGTGTGACGCTCTCCGGTGGTTGTTTACTATGAGGCAAATGTTGAAAGTACTGAGTAATAGGGCGAGTGTTGGAGACAGAGGCAAGTGTGGCTTTGTTGACACTTGCCAAAATTGTTTTCTCGTAGACTCGATGGTAATATGTGAGCATGGAAGTAGATGTAGTCAATAAAAAGGTTTCCATATCTTCTGGAAATAAGTGGGCGTGGGATGGACAGGTCTGTGATTTCAGTTCAAACAGAGTGTGGACTTTTGTCACCACCCGCTGTCAATGCTTTGCTTGCTTCTGAGAAAGCGTGTAGCCATGAAGATCTTTATTTTGCTGTTCCCATAATGATATATAGGAGGTAAGAAAGAATTCCACAAGATAACCCCCCAACACGATCGGGGAATTATAATCAGATCAGTAATAATTTAGAAAAGTCAGGGTCCTATTACTATAACGAATACATCATAACATCCAAGCAAGAAATGAAATCCAGGTACCAGCTGAATTTCAAAGGGGCATCACAAGTCCCTCTCAGACATATCCTTGTGACACAGACACAAAAAGACCAAAGGCAAGGGACTCCAATCTGATCAGGCCGCTGAGATGTTAGTTGTGTCATCACATATTGAAGAAAATCTGGAGGCTACCTGCGTTTTTAGTCACAGTATTCTATGGATCCTTGAGGCTTTCAACAGAGTAGACAAATGAGACGAATGATATTGGGGCCAATAAAGGGGATCATTGAAGAGTTGCTCTGTCTTTGCTTCCTCCTGGAAACAGATGACCCCTCCTTGTACAAAGGAGAATTGATGCCAGTGACACTAATGCCAAAGCCTGCAGTGATGACCTTCCTGAGGATACTCTTTCATTGTTTGATAGAGTTTTGGGAAATGAAATCCAAGCAAGTTGGTAGTAGAAAGAACTAATGAACTGTACCAGCTGACAGAAGTAGAAGTGGGGTCACTGAGACTAGCCACAAAGCTCCCAAGAGAAAGAAGTGCTAAGGGGTACCAAAAAGGAGGTTGATGTTTTCTATCTTTTGCTGAATTTAGGGGTTCAAACCAAGATCCCTTGCTCCCCTTCTGGGAACGCATGTCATGCTTAGGTAGGGTGACAAGAATGAAGGAGGAGCTCTTGGTGGCCTCAGGGAGGTAACTAGTTCTACTATAGTGGTATACTAAAACAGTAGGACCCTCAAGGGTTATGTACATGGTGCTGATAGGGGCAATCTCCCTGAAAGGGTCACCATGCACCACTTCATCATCATCACCAACAAACTGGTGCCAAGGTACACCTTCAAAAAAAGGCTTGTCACAAAGACTCCAATAGATGAACAGCCAGAAAACTTTTGACAGAAGATCCCGGTGGGTAAATTGACCCTATCTGGAGGACAAACTCTATTGAGTGTTGATACTACTAGCAGGAGTTGAAGATGAACTGGGCTGCTTTGGCAAAAAGTTTAGACATTACCACAGAAGAGGGCAAGCCTTTTTCCTCCTGCTGACTTGAGATTCCCTTGATAGGACCAGCAGTTGTTCTTGTGAATCACATTGTAGTAGTGTCTATCTTGTGAGTTGTGATCAGACAGATCAGGTACCCCATTTGACATAGGTGAGTTGTTGCCCTGCTTGGTGGGGAGAGCTAGCATTAAGTAAAAAAAAATCTTAATATTATATTTAACCTCGTGAACTAGAAGAGGCGCTATATGGCCAGAACCATAGCTTTCGTTAGAAAGAATGCTTCCAGCTGCTCCGAGGGGCGGCGCCTCCCTCCGAGGAGGTTTTGTGGAGGCGCGACCAAGAGAGCTAGCATTAAGTAGAAGATTCATTATCTAGTAGAAGCTGGTGAAACATTGTCCTGGATTGTAGTACTACTAGTAGTACTGGTACTACTTTCAATCCTGCTGGTTTGTGCTAGTACATACTAGGAGGTTGATGCAATGAATCTTGTTCAACTCCCCCTTCTTCTTTAGCGTTAGTACTACTAGTAGTAGTACTAGATACTCCGTCATCTGTGCCTAACTCAATATCTGGGGAATTGGAATGCTTCTTTTTGTGCTTGACAGATCTGTTATAAATGCATACTAGTACAGTTATAAAGATTTTGTTGAGTGAAAGTGTCTAAGGTACTTGAGATAGCCATACAAACAGGACMTATTTTGGCATATATATTTCATGTTACCAGTTGAAAGGGTTATACTGGTCATTTATTGACTGGACTTGGGGCAATAGGAATCCTAGTAGATTAAGTATTTTATGAGGATCCTTTGGGCATTGCTAAGGACTTTCTTGTATGGTCATTTCTTGTTTGAAAGAGGTGCACTGTACTGGTACCATTGTCAAAATTGCATTTGCTGTATTAATAGTATGTGTAAAACTACCTGGGTTAGCCAGCCAATTCTGCAGTTATGGGAGTTATGCAGTTCCACTGGTACTAGTTGTAGTTCTGGAGTTTAGATTTGTTTCTCATTGGTGTTCAACAACAAGGAAGCCAACATTCATTCACTCCTGCATACATCAATATGTGTCTTTTTTGACTGGTTGGCTCATTTTATGTACTATCTCAAATACAAATTTTATTAGGATCCTAAACATTATCAGTATCATACTACTAATGTCTGTATGGTGGCCCAGGAGTTGTAGTGCATGATTTGAATGGCCCAGTTGTTAGAGTGCTGAATCTTGACTTTGAGGCCATCACCAGCTGCGCCCCAGACTCTCTCTCTTCCAAGTGGCCCGTACTTGCTTCCAATTGCTGCCACATAATATGCCTCCACTTCTTTGTCACATGGGGGGTCTAATATTAGTAGCATTTGGATGATTTTGCAAAATTTAAAGAAGAATTCTCTGGGAATACTTCAACCACTCAAATAGGGGTGCTGAAGTGAGACCAAACACATAAGTTCTGAACCAAGTCAAGACTAATGCATGTCCAATGGTTGCAGTTATCTCCTTCTTCTTGCCCTTTGGTTTAACTTTCTTACTGAAGAGACAGGGTCTGATCTGCAGGGTCTTCTTGCTCACTGTATATCTATCAAAAACTAGCTCAGAGAGGGAAAGGAGATACCTGAAGACAGGATGGTCTATACCAGAGCAGTTTCAAAGAGCCTGGTTGTCACCACTACCAAACAAATGGATGAGTGCAATCCTTTGTATCCTTCTGCTGTCCCTTCAACATCAGTTCTATCCTCATCATCCTTCTGTCTCTTCAATGCCTGTCCTCAAGGGTGAGCTTACAACACATCTCCTCCTCCTTGCTGTCCTCTTCAAAGGAACTTCTTCCCATGCAATTAAAACATTCAAGAGGACACGGTCATGGTGTTTTTTATTGATAGCCAAATAGGTTTGGAGGAGGGGATTTCTGTTTGGAGATGGAATGTGACTAGGAGGAGACTGGTGTTTTTTTTTGGGGGGGGACTAGTTGTAGAGCTGGTTTTGTGAAAATATGAATCTTACTGGCACCAATGGTGGAATGGCAGCACCACTGGAATCTTGTGGCCAAATGCGCTAAATGATATGGGATTCCAAATTCAGAAATGGTGGGAAATATGTTTTTTCAGTGAGCCTGCTGTGTCTTTTAGTACCACTGATTGCTGGTATTTTTGATAAATGAGAAGTTTTAATGCTAGTATTGTGCATTAAAAATGAGATTGAGAAGACTAATTGGAAATTTGGACCAAATGTGGAGTGTGAGTAGCACACTTTTTGAGTAATGGAAACAATGGACAGATGTAGGACAATAACCAGACAAAATAGCTACCTTGCAAATTGTGATACCCCGCAAATACAATAGCCTTGTACCTCAACAACAAGCCTTGGCCTCATTCTTGAAAGTATTGTGGCGAAGGACTGCCACGGCAGTAGGATGAGACATGATGTGAAAGAGGAAAGATTCACCTTCTTTCCTGCCCTTTAACACAGGAAACAAACCCATCACAAAACAGCAATAAGTCAACAGGGGCATCAGTACACCAACCTGTGGTGAACCCCACCAGACCACCACCATTACACATTTTCTTACACGTAGTAGTAGTAGATCTACTAGGTAGTAGTAGTAGTACTAATCACATTAGTAGTCAAATCCTAATTTCGGCAAACACTTAGAAAGTTTTAATAGTCCACCACTTAGATCCTTACAAGCAATATCAGACCACAAAGGTATGAATATACGGCACCACAGTGCCAAGAGGCCCAGAATGTCCCTTGGCACCAGTCCAAGAGCAATAACTGAGGGGTCAAGAATCAAGAACAGTTAGGAACAATTGCGCTTCGCCATAAATTTTTGACCCCTGAGTATTGTACTCCACGGTACCGTACCGTATGGTACACGGACTCGTCCGCCCCCTCACGTCCAACGGTATGGGGACGAGATGATCTTCTTACATGCTGACTGCCGGCCAAGAAAAGACCATTCCACCGGTACGGTACGAAGGAAACAAAAAATGTACACTGCATCATGGCGTCAAGATTTCTAAAACGACGATTTACAACAAACCTTCTAGGATGGCCAACCGACGTCACTAGCGTCGATCCCAACCCAGCTAGCTGCCACAATGCAACCGTGCACACAATTATTGTGTGGATTCCAGGGAATCCTGGACAATACGACTGGTACAATTCGGATTTTCTAGAAATTTTGTCTGCCCTTGGGCATGGGTACGCCATCCGCTCCTTATCGCATGCTGGTCATGGATTGATGGTAAGTATCGGCGAAAATTGTGGCGCCGATCACTCTAGCTCGACTATGGACATCGAAGGTCACTGCCACCGCTGTCGAGCAGACAACGAGGAAACTAACGGACCTAGTCCTCGCATTCCCTGGACCGTAAAAGGCCAAGTGCTCCATAAGATCGCTTTTGTGGATAGTCTGTTGCGTGAAATCACTGGAGGGGATCGCTACAGCGAGCACGAACGTAAACAAACGTGTCGATTCACACCCAATCCGAGATTCATATTCATAGGGCATTCCTTCGGGTGCCACATTATCCAACGAATGTGCGTCCTTCGTCCCGATATTTTAGAACGCACAACGGGATTTTTGTTTCTGATGCCTTATATAAGAACAAAACCCCTTTTTGTGACAGAAAAAAAGAAACTGGATGTTGGCGGATCCTATCCAGAACATTTGATATTAGTCGCCACTAAGCTGTCTCAGTTGTTGAAATTCTTTCCAGAACCCATTGTTCGAGGACTGATTCGGAAAGGATTGCAGGGTGATAGCAGCGGAAACGATGACGGGGGTATCGATGGTGAAAGCATAGCAAACGTGACCACCAAACTCCTATGCAATCCCCTTTATCCACGCAACTTTTTCGAATTAGGTACGGAAGAAATAAGGGACATACCAAACGAAATCGACACAACCGCTCTGCGTCTGCTATCTTCGCGCAAACTACTGTTACCCCAGAATAAAACTTCAATGGGAACTGGCTCTCAGCGGGACGTGGCGCAAAAACGTCGTATTTTCATTTTATATGCCGGTGACAACGATCAGTGGTGCCCATCTTTTCACGGGGAGGAAATAAATGCGCTACAATCCGTCAAAGTTTTGCCAGCGTCGATAGAAAGAACCAAGATGTCGGGATTGAGACATGACTACGTTTGCCAAGATCCAGCGGCGCGATCCAGGGTAAACAATTGGTGTATTTCAAACATTCTCAAAATGACGAGCGATAGCACCAGAGCTCACGCGAACAAGCTGTCGAGAACACCAGATGTGTTGTCAAGTAAACTATAGCGAAAGCCTATGTAGAGAAAGGAACAACTTTTCGAACCACGGTCCAAATGTTACAACGACTGCCTGTGGTCTGGTCCGCGTCTTCTCAATCTCATTCTGTATACATGTTGGCAAGCCAACCTCATCAATTACGTCCTATCCTGCCTGAAGTAGTTGCACCTCTGTAGGAGAATCCTACATGTCATCCCGCAGTTAGAAGATCCCCAATATTTGGAACGAATCACCTTCATATCACCTCTAATTTTGTACGACATGACCCACCTATTTCAGTTTAGCAGGGAGCGTGCCGTACGGTAGAGAGGGAGTTGTACCGATACAAGAGCGAGTCTGTTGCTGTTTAGGTTGTGTTCATCATCTCAAAGATGGATTTTCAATTTGGGTTTTTCTTGATCCGGGGGGGCTGTCTTTCTGATTTCTCACCGAAAACTCGTTTTCAAAATCGTGTCTCGCCCGCCCGCCTGCCGGCCGCAGCGCGCATACTTAAATTCAAAATGAGCTCCTACGATGGGGCCCGTACTTAGTAGCTCTATACGGTACAAGTTTCATTCCATCCAAGACAATTCGCAAGAGCCAAAATTCCTGATCCGCGTCGAAAGAACTCTTCGTGTTCTCTTGTGATTGGTGGAAATGCAACCATTTTTTATGATGTGTGATACAAATGGGTACGTAAGGTACGTACCGTACCGTACGATGCTTGAACCAACGTGCTTATGCTCTGAATGCCACAATGCAATGGTCGCATCTACCGATTATTTTTTAGTCGCTATTTTCGTACTTTACTGTACTAATTACAGCACTGCACGTTATAAGGCTACAGGCACAGGTACTCGTAGTACAGTACGTACCATGTTTCACGAACCGACAATACGGTACGCACATCTCTTCAATTCCTTCGTCGCTGACCGAACAAAAAAATTGAAATGCAATTCATCATCAGTGTTCATATCTTTTTGTCTCAACGTACAAGCCGCAGAAAATCGTACGGTACGTACGGTACGGTACGAGTAGGCCTTTCAGAATTATTACTTCGAAGTGCACAAACATCATTATCAAACATCGGTATCACAAACCTCAAATATCTGATCGACTCACATTTTGGAACACTTGGTTTCCACCCAAATACTCATACTTCAAAGAGCCACAACACCATTCGAGCTACTCGAACCAGCAACAAAAGTAGCTGCCCGTTGTGTCAATCAATTGCATTGTGTCTTTCGACAATTGCTACGCACGCAAGGGAACAAAACGCCATTTTTGTGATACCATTTGTACAATCCCCGCGTTTCTGGAGAAAAGATGAGGATTCACCCATCGGCCCTAGCCTCTTTCTTAGCCGTAGCGTCGGTCGTTCCTACTGTTGCATTTGTGGGGCCTTTAACGGGAAAGCAAATCAAACCGAGTGTTTCCAACGATTCCACAAAACATGGCATCCTGAAAAAACTTAAGTCGATCGTAGCGAGGGCTTCTCCCGCCACCGCGCGCCTCCACATGGGCGAGAATGACGAGGGTTACGAGTACGGGTACGGTTATGACCGTGACTATGACCACGGCTATGATCACGTTTATGACTACGGCCACGAGCACTCGTACAATAACGAGTACCTCGCAGCGGACGCCACGGGCTACTACAATGACAACTTTGAAGGGTCGGTTTATCAGGAAGAAGCTTGGACCCCACCTTCCTTCACACTAGCGGATGCCGATACTTCTCAGCAAGCTCCGGAGATCACATCGCCACCTCAACAGGAATCGGGAGGGTCATCTCCGGAAACGACTACGGCATCGTTGACACCAACGTCGGAGACAGGAGCGGGTGTGGAAAGTATACTGTCGACCATCTCGGCATCACCGAGCCTCTTGGCACAAGCATCGATCGGAACCGCAGCCTTTGGTGGGTTGGCGGCTGCCCGAAACGTTCTGAGCCAGAGACAGAAGAAACTGGACGACGAAAAACGAACGCTCGAGGAACAACAGAAACGCATCGAAACCGAGACCGCCAAGCTCAACGCGGAAACATCTCAAAACAACATTCTGTTGGTAAGTGTGTTGCTTGACAAGCACGGAGTGTTGAAAACGTGAACGAAAGCATCAAGGTGTAAACACGCAGAATCTTGAAATCATGAGGATTCAATCAATTCATCTCTTTTTCTGATCATCTCATTCTATCTTTCTCCGAAAAATGTTGCAATAAACCAGTCTACCGCCGGTTCTATTGCGGTTGGAACAGTGCTGACTGCAGGAGGTGTCGTTGAGGAATTTTCTGGATCCGCTATTAAGTCGCTAGAAGGCATTGGAGCAAACACGAATTTGGAAAATGGAATCAAAGACACCGTGAAAGGAGGAGGTTTTAAGACGACGGCAGGTACCGTCGCCGAACGGCCAGTGTTGAAGCAACAGGAGCTCCCCTATCTGGAGGAAAAAATCGAAAAAGAAGCCACAAAACAGCAGGCAACAAATGTTTTGCGAAACAGAAGAGACAAACTGAGCGTGAAACAAAACGAACTTGAAGCTATGGCTGCGAAACGTGAAGCAGCTATTGCAGAAGAAGAGGCAAGGCTCAAGGCGATTGCAGACGAGGAAGAACGTTTGAGAGTAGAGGAAGAACAGCTTCGACGCAAGGTATTGGCCGAGCAAAACGAAGCAACTCGATTAAAGAAGGAGGCCGAAGAAGCAGAAATAGCCCGACAAAAGAAGGCAGCAGAGGAAGCCGAAGCCGCGAGAATCAAGGCAGCCGAAGAAGAAGCCGCGAGAATAAAAGCGGCCGAAGAAGAAGCAGCACGTCTACAACGGGCAGCCGAGGAAGCCGAAGCCGCGAGGATAAAGGCGGCCGAAGAAGAAGAAGCGCGTCTTCAACGGGCGGCAGAAGAGACTGAAGCCGCGAGAATCAAGGCGGCAGAAGAAGAAGCAGCACGTATACAACGAGCAGCCGAAGAAGAAGCTGCGAGAATCAAGGCGGCAGAAGAGGAAGCAGCACGTCAACAAAGGGCGGCCGAAGAAGCAGAAGCTGCAAGAATAAAGGCTGCCGAAGAAGAAGCAGCACGTCTACAACGGGCGGCCGAAGAAGCGGAAGCCGCGAGAATCAAATTGGCAGAAGAAGCGGAAGCAACCCGTTTGAAGAAGGCAGCTGAAGAAGCCGAAGCAGCGCGGCTCAGGCAGGAGGCTCAAGAAGCCGAAGAAGCCCAGCAGAGACAGGCAGCGGAAGAAGCAAGAATTGCAAGAGAAAGGGAAGCAGAGAGAATTCGTGAGTTAGAAGAACAAGAAGCTAAAGATAAGGCGAGACAAGAAGCCATAGCTCGGGAGCAAAGGGCCGTTGAGATTCTCCGTCAGAGAGAAGAAGAGGAGGCTGCACAGTTAAAAGCAGAAGAATTGCGACTCGCATCTGGTGGTAAAGCTACGGTTGCAGGTGTGAATATTTTGCGCGATTATGTGGCCAAGTTCGGTGAAGCATTTAATCCTGCCCAGCAGCTTGAGCAAAATCCTAATTTAGAGCAATTACGGACTTCGTTGAATCAACTCGGAATATCGCCAGGAGTTGCAGGTGGACTGGCCGCTGCTACACTTATTGTCGGTGGCGGGGCGACGGCGATCAAAGTATTGGCAGATCAAGCGGAATCCAACATTGACGATGCGCGAGAGGAGGACGGAGCGATGGGCAAAGGAGACGAGTCAAACAGCGGCGGAAAAGATCTACTGGACTCTCGAATCGCAGACCTCGAAAATAAGAAAGAGGAGAAGACAACACAGCAGGCACCGACCGTAAGAAGAACCCTAAGGATTGTTGATGACGACATCAATGGGAATAGTCCCAACGGACAATCGGAGACGTCACGACCGAATGCCGACCCCCCTGCGTCTATAAAGTTTGGGGACAGTCCATCGCAACCCCAGCCTAAAGTATCTCCACCTCCAGTGAAGAAGAGCTCGAACCCGATGAATACACAAGGACCATTGTCATCATCCTCGAGTTCGCAAAAGTTTGATACCCAATCGGATAAAAACGGTAACAAGGTATCACCTGTAAAGGCGAACGTGTCTGATAGTTCATTAAATAGTTCTTCCCCAACTTCCACCAGTTCCTCTGGTTTTGGCGTACCTCCTCAAAAAACTGTTGGTCCATCAACATTATCGCCCCCCCCAGATACTTTCGGATCCCCGCCTTCCAAAACAAGCTCTCCATTTGGTGTTCCATCGAAGCAGACTGGTCCTAGCAAAAAAGCAAGCTCTCCATTTGGCAACCCAGTACAAAAAGCAGGTTCATCAAA